AAAATGTTTAACAATAATAATTGTAATAGATAAATGTCTATAAATTCATTTGAAAATTATTTACAAAAATCAAATGTTACATGTGAAGTAGAAATGTTGATTTCAAATGGTGTTCGACTAATCAAAATGACTGGTTTGGTATATCTAGTGTTAAAAAAAAAAAAAACCATAATAATAATATAAAAATACAAATATACTGAGAGAATTCTGAGGAAATAAACATTCGCCAATTGTATAAGAATAAACAATATCATTTGAACTCAGTCAGTCAAGATGATAGAAACTGATCTCGTGATTTAAACTGGACGTTGGTGTAACATTCGTGAACCATTTTAAAATCGATCTCATCCATTTTCGAACTTTTAATTGTGTCAGTTCTAACGATCCCCACAATGTTTTCAATCCGATCAGAAATTCATAACATTTGTCCAATCTCGATTTTATCATCATGGATTCGATCCAATTTATTATAACAATCGATTCGTTTCATTTTTTTGTTTATTACGAACAACGTATATAATTTGTTAGATTCAATAGAACGCGTATTGTTTTATATTGTCAGTTGGCAAATATTTATTTACAAATTCATTATTAACAATATCATTTTTTTTTTTATAGGAATATAACGTTACACGTATTAATCATCAAAGTATTGATCGAATTTAACGTAGTTTTGAAGTTTCACAGATATTTACATACACCACGTATGAGAAATATGATTACTATTGTAAGAAATGATGACGTTTCAAATTTACAGTCATACTACTGTCACGTTTGACAAACCTTTTGAGTCGTTATTATAACGTTAATCAACAAGAATGAATAGTAGGTCCTTTTATAGTTACAAACGAAAACTAATCATTTCAATATGGAAATTCTATTTGTTATATCTCACTCTATGATGTATATATAATAAATATATTCCTATATATATATATATATATATATATATACGTTAAATATGTACACGTTTATATTTACATGACACGTCACTCGATAAATCTTTGGTTTAACTAAGAAAAACAAATTTTCTACCAATTTCACTTTATTTATCAACATATACTACTACTCTCCTTTTAAATTGATACATTAATTCCAACGTTATTTTAACACTTGTTGCTAACTTTTATGTAAAACGATTTGTCTTTGTTCTCAAATTAGATCATAGTTTTGGCAATCTTCTGAAGCATGTCTTCAAAAAAGCCACTAGTCGCTGCTGGTGGGGGCAAATTTGAAGAGTACGTTTGATATGGAGAAGAAATTCAAAACGTCATTCATCCAATTTAACCAATGTTGTTTCTGATTGTTGTTGTTGTTTCTGATCCGATGTGAGCAGTACGCAGCACCTATTTCAAAAAGCAACTAACGAGTATACCCAAATTTTCATGTCAAATTAATTCATGTCAACAACACTAACACTTATTGATATCTTTATAAGGTGTCAGCTTCATTTGACTGTCATTCAAAACTATTGTGTGATCTTTTGTTTTTTAACTGGAGCTGACGAATTTGAACGATCTAAGTATTCATTATCATTTCTGCATGTATGGCCACGTTTAAATTCAGCATACCAATAATTAATAATCGATTCCTTGGGTGCAGAATTCCCATAATTCTCATCGAGCCACTGTTTGGCTTCAGTAATAGTTTTCTTCACCAAAAAACAATGTTTAATCAACACACAAAATTCGTCGTTATCCATTGTCTTGAAAATGACAAAACTGGGGGGAAGGGAGAAGGAGGAGGGTTACTAAAACGACTGTAATTTCTGAATTAACGATCAAAATGCTATGAAATTTGAACATGTACTGATTCAAAGATTAATACTAGACGAGGAATATCACGTGAGTTTATCAACAGTGTTGCCATATGTGTGTCAAATAAAAGACTTATTGAGTGACATGTTATTTAAATCCATCTTGTCCTAGTTGAAAACACACATGCCGATGAATTCTTCCTTAGATTCAATTTATCCACGAACTATAACAGTTTCTATTCATACCTTAGGGTTTAACTAAATATATTGCTTCCTTAGATGGGTAGGATTTATACTATATCCTATGAGCTTTTACAGATATCTAGATATGTTACTGTCATCGTAAAATATATATATATATATATATACGTATTCCAAATCTTACTTCGATTTAGGTGAATTTTGTTTGATCAACTTTACGAAACATTGAGATGGCTATTAAATAATCTGACACGTTAAAGCAAACGTTGTAAATCTCGTTTAGATAAAAAATAAAAAATAAAAAAAAGGAATATGTTACACGTAGGTATGTATGTGATTCCTGAGTAAATAAAAAAATAAAAATAAAAGTCAAAAAAAAAAAATAGAAAGAAGAAAGTGTCAGGGTTGTAATTGCGCTTGAAGCAATTTAAGCTTTTTTTTTTTCCCCTCGTTCATGTTGGATGGAACGATGGAACAAAAAAATATTACTCTACGGCAATGAACTTCTCTTTCAATCGGTTCATCGAAAATCGATTACGCGTACGCGACTATTACAACATATACTATACATATATATAACATATATAATACATATATATTTTACATTGCACCTTTCTTGGAAAATCGCAAGCGATAAGAGAAAAATAAATATCAAAATATGTGATCGTTATCATCGTATATAAAACGTTTCTATTCAATTCAAATCGTTTAATGTATTTTTTTTCTTGTTTTTTTCATATTTATATTTTACAATATCTCGAATTTATTTACAGTTGAAAAATATGACAATTTAATGTTATATTATTATTTTTTTTTTCTATCATTTTCTTACTTAATAAATATTTTACATATGTGTTCCAAATTGTTAGAAGATTTTTATTTAAAAATAACAAAAAAAAAATAAATAAATAAATAAAATTAGAAACAACAAAATATAATCTAAAATGCAATAAGTGCAATAATAATTTATCGACGTTTCTAACAAATATATATATATATATATA